TGAATTGCGCTGACAAAAGAGAACATTCAGATACTTATTTGCTAACCTTGTCTACTGCAACATATATTTTCCTCAATAACAACAGTGCAGCGGCACAGTCACCCCTCTACCCAACGCTGTTATCCATATTCAGCTTTGTACATAGTCCTGTATTAATATTTACATAAATTTACAATTTGATCATTTGTTTATCAACTGCCCATATTTTTAATTGATAAATTGCCTTACTACATTAGCTTACTCCCTATCTGCAGTTTAACTTTGTTCACACAACGCTATTATAGCTTTACTTCCTCTGATTTTTCAAGTCTTCTGTATATCAGAATCTCCTGTCATTTTTAACAAGTTACCAGCTACATTTGGTTATTTCAAGAGAATTTAACTCACTCTCATTGCCCTATTACCGATGAAGTTGGCTTTTAAACTCCGCATGGCTAACCCATCAATTGGAGGCCAATTTAAAAGGCGACCAGTCTTTCACTACATTGCAAAATTAAGTATCAGTTAGTAACATATTGTGGTACAGTTCTAACATTATCGAGTTTATTATTCATTAAATAATAACCACAAAAGCATTTTATAAATTTCATTTCGTAGAGCATCAGTGGATAATTTATATTATTTGGTTATGGTAAAACACATTCAGGTCGTCTGCCTAAGGGCATTAATGCTTTCGTGGAAGACTACAACAGAAAATACCTCGTGTTCACATTACACATAGGAAAATATGAAATTGCCCATGACTATGTCAGACCATTCTAGTTTCAAATTTTGTTCTAGGTCGAAATATTAGAGTTCAGCAGACTTATCCATTCGGCCAGTGGTGGGCCCAACATGATATCAGAAATATTGAATTACAGAGATAAAAATGTACTGATATATAAGTTAAATAACGTATTATGCCTTATCGAAGTCTCATAATTATGTAACGCGGATATTTTATATAGTAATTAATACAACGCAATTTGAAATATTTTTTTCTTTTTCATTTCTTTATTAGCTTTAGGGCATTAAAAATTGTAAATAATAGCAAAATATAAGTGCAAATAGTATAATAAGGCCAAAATTTAAATTAACTAAGAAAATATAATTAAACGGATAATGATTTGAAGTTCTGCACTTTCAGAATTTAAACTGACTATTAAATTTTGGGCGGTAGTCACTGTACATTACATTTTACAACAAATATGAGTCAAATGAATTATATCTTAAATTAGCAAACTAAGTCTTATTTATATAGTCTTCTCTATTTCGTTTCGTACTTGAGAAAAAAGTAAAAAATGTAAATCCGCAATACAATTTCTTAAAAGCTTTCTTTCCTTGTAAATTTTCTTCCCCGCAAATACAACGTCTTGCTTTCGTGTCTGTTCCATTAATCACCTCTTCATTAATCACAAATACCACTTCCCCATATGCGTCTTGGATGACGGCGAGATGATAGGGCGGTTAAATGGCACAAGACATTTAACCATCCTGTCATTAAGAAAATTGCCAAGAATGCCCCACGCCAGACGGTCGAAATTACACTCGTCGGGAAGGGGCAAGACATCAGCTAAACTACCGAGATTTACTCTGGAGTCGAATCAGCACTCTGCGTTTCGATCTTTTCCTCTAACCATCGTAATGTCCAGGTCGACTGATTTACTGTTTCATAATACTAATTGTAACCCAAAATATGTAAGGAAATTCTGAAATCTAAAACACTGTTTGAATCCAATTAAATCGAAATCCAATTAAACGAATCCAAACGAAATGAAATCACATTGTTGCTCTATTATGGGCACCTCTGTTAGAAAAAAGTATAAACCGACAGCCTAACGTGTGATCTGATAAATGAAAAATTCGGTAAACTGTCGTCTTTTCCAATTTTCTCTTCGAAGCCAAACCCATGTGCATTATAGTATAAAATTACTTCTTGAAAATACTTTGGACGTTTATTCTACTTTTGATAAATGCGCACAAATACATACCATTTACCCAAAAAATGTTTCCTAGTTTCTCCTTGAACTATTATTTCTATTACAGTGTAACAATACACCGTGAAGAGAGAAACTTTACGCTATATATACTTGTTTCTATAAAGCCAAAGTAACTTACTCTAAAAAATGCCTTTCCACACAGGGTTCTTTTTTAAACTTAAAAGAATTCAGGATAGCTTCGAAAAACCTTTCGCATCGGTGAAATTTATAAGCAAGACTTTTGGATTCATGTTTTAACCTTCATTCCATAAATGGAATATAAAAATTCTCTCGAGTTGTCAGCCAGAGGTGTAGTAATCGGGTTTCCAAAATTCTAGGGATTTAAATTTCTAATTTATGTTTTCTGATATAATCTCAAATTTTGGAAATCACATATAATTCAGGACGAAAAAAAAATATTTCACTGTTTTTTCGAAATCTTTCCAAGAAGTGCATTTTTTACTCTATCGATAGTTTATTTCAGAAATGAATATAACAATTTTGGTTCGTTTTTTTATTTTAAGAAGATTTTTAAGGGTTGTTGGAACCCAAAAATATTCAAAAAAGGGTGATTTTGGATTTTCGCATTTTCAAATTCTCTACACTTTTATCTTTCTGAAAATAACATTCTTTAATCTCTATGAAAATTATAACTGTAAAAATCTAGTTTTAATTTGTCATCGAATGCTTTGACAAATAGGGATTTTTACATAAAAAACGCGTTTTTCTCCAAACGTGATTTTTTTATATTCGATGTACCTTTTCTCAGGAACTACTGCACACAGGTATCTAAAATTTTTATCGCTTATTTATTAGGTTTCCTAATATGTACTGAAATGAGATTTTTGTGATAAACTAAGGAAAAAAAGTTTTAACAGTTTTCTGTGCGAAAAAAGTGCTAAATTTTACTATGCCTAACATAATATTCTGTAAATTACTCTAAAATTCAAATGCTTCAAAAGCTCATTTCAGTATAATCAGAAATCAGGTATAAGTTAGTTGCACAAAAAAATTCAAGCGTGTATCTACAACAGATTTTGAGAAAAGGTACATCGAAAATGGCCAATTTAACATTGTCGGTATAGGGGTTGCTGATACCCCTTAAAATTGAAGAGTTATTGTTGAATAAAAGATCTAAGAATTTGAATGATAAAGTATCTATTTCCCGTCAGAAAGAAAATCTTAGATGCTCTTCATTTCAGATCGGCTTTCATATTTGCAGTGTTTAGCAGGGTGCGAAACCACGTATACTGCACCTTTAGCGAAACGACGTTGATCAGTTCTAAATACCTTAGGAAACATAACAGTCAACTAGCTTAGGGAAAATAACAATCAAATAGTCAGTACTTTTTTGGTGGGATCAGGCACTTCCTTAAGAAACATTCTTGGTTTACCCAGAGAAAAGAAACCAAAAAAAAAGTAAGCTCGTAAAACTGTTTAAATAAAATGTTTTCATAGAAATGAAAGATCTAAGAATTTGAATGATAAAATATATATTTCCCGTCAGAAAGACAATCTTAGATGCTCTTGATTTCAGATCGGCTTTAATAGTTGTAGTGTTTAGCAGGGTGTGAAACCATGTATACTGCACCTTTAGCGAAACGACGTTGGTCAGTTCTAAATACCTTAGGAAAAATAACTGTCAAATAGTCAGTACTTGGTGGGATCAGGCACTTCCTTAAGAAACATTCTTGGTTTACCCAGAGAAAAAAAACAAAAAAAAGTAAGCTCGTAAAACTGTTTAAATAAAATGTTTTCATAGAAATGAAAGATCTAAGAATTTGGATGATAAAATATATATTTCCCGTCAGAAAGAAAATTTTAGATGGTCTTGATTTCAGATCGGCTTTCATAGTTCCAGTGCTTAGCAGGGTGTGAAACCACGTATAATGCACCTTTAGCGAAACGACGTTGATCAGCTCTAAATACCTTAGGAAAAATAACAGTCAAATAGTCAATACTTACTTGGTGGGATCAGGCACTTCCTTAAGAAACATTCTTGGTTTATCCAGAGAAAAGAAACCAAAAAAGTAAGCTCGTAAAACTGCTTAAATAAAATGTTTTCATAGAAATGAAAGATCTAAGAATTTGAATGATAAAATATATATTTCCCGTCAGAAAGACAATTTTAGATGCTTTTGATTTCAGATTGGCTTTCATAGTTGCAGTGTTTAGCAGGGCGTGAAACCACGTATACTGCATCTTTAGCGAAACGACGTTGATCAGTTCTAAATACCTTAGGAAAAATAACAGTCAACTAGCTTAGGAAAAATAACAGTCAAATAGTCAATAGTCAGTACTTACATGGGGGGATCAGGCACTTCCTTAAGAAATATTCTTGGTTTACCCAGAGAAAAGAAATTAAAGGAAGTAAGGTCGTAAAACTGTTTAAGTAAAATGTTTTCATAAAAATGAATGGAGGAGATTAAAAAAAAAAGCTGGTTTTTATATCTATTTTCATATTAATGTATCGTCGTACTTGCTGTATAACTTGTTAATTTATATGTAGGTATGCAAAATAATTAGTATTTTTGCAGGAATTGGATTTCTTTAATTATATAAGCTTATTGTAATTTTATAAATTGTATTCAGGAAAAAAACTATTTATGCGCTGGTGAAGGATATTCTTAATAACCTGTTCTGTCAAAGTTAAAATGGATTTCATATTTTTATCCTTAAAATAAATAAAGTAGATTACTGAAATATAATTCCTAGAATAAGGTATCCTGTGGATATTCTATTTCTTTATTACAAGAAAGTTTTACTATTCAGATTTGAAACTAGTATTAAAAGGACAGGGAATTCTCTTCGATTGTTCCAAATTCGAGTCAATTAAATGTAAAATATGTACTCTTGCAAAAATAGAGCGATTTTCTCTAACTTTTATATTCCTTTGAAGTGAGAAAGGAATGTCTCGGGAAGAAACTTAAATAAGCTTGTTTTCATTGCATTGACTAAACAGAGATAGGCATTCCACGTACTTTCTCCCATAATACTTATTCTTCTGTTTGCTCGCAAAACCATTTTCTTTTATAACTTTACCTGGAGCGGTTTTCCGTCTGGAGAAGTAACTTCTGCTGCTGCCTCCCTCATTTTTAAAGCCATCCAAGCCGTTTGCTGTGCATGAGTTGTGCTCATTCTGTGAAGTCCACCAGCAACACAATAAGCATCACCGATTGTTTCCGTCTGAAAAATAAGATTATCGTCTTAAAAATTTTTATTAAATTGCATCCCACAGAAAAAGTAACTTTCTGCTACGCTTCACTTGAAAAAAAGCATTTATCCTTAAACTCAATTTTAAAAGGGCATACTCTAAATTTCAAAATATTCTGCCTTCTAGCACCAAAAAGCTCAAAATTCTATCGTAGCGTATTTGACTAGATAGAATTTACTGCTTGTAACATGCAATGCAATCTTCTTTATTTGTCTAGTTAGTATCGTATTTTTCATGTACCTTTAAAGCAACTGCTATATAAATAAATATGTATGTCAAGTGTTACACAAAGATTTTGCATAAATACAGTAAAGTAGTTAGTCAATCTTATTAAGAGAAAAACTGTTAGCACTTTTATAAATGAAATGTTGAAAACTGATGAATTTTTATGTTGAATAAATGTAAAAATATATTAAAGGAATAATAAAATCGGGCATATAATGGAATAATAGCATAACATTTAAACTTAAATAAATATTTATTATATTATACAGTTATATAAATATTTATTTCATTTTAAATTTAGTACTACGTATTTATACTTATAAATTTATTCGCTTAAGAGTCACTTAAGGGTACGTTATTCTAATGATATCTAATAATATCAATTTAATACTTAATTTAAAAATTAATAATATATTTTTTGAATACTTCTATATATATTGATATAAGAATGCATGAATATTTCTTTTGTTTTAAAAGTACATGTATAGTTTCCCCCCAAGAGTTGTTGCAAATTTACACAGGCATTTAAAATGTATGTATTTATTTGTGTTTTTCATGTTTTGTATATTCTTGTTTATACTACGGTTTTGTATGTGCGATTACAATTTTGTGTGCGTAATATATTCGTAGCTATTAAATAATTCTAATGCATTATAAATTACTGGATCTTGAAATTTCAAGCGTAGACAACAATGATGATAAAGTAGAGACAATTAGAGAGGCTTAAAAGTGCCTCAAATCGTCAATCATCAGCCTTTAGAGAGAATAGACACTTAAATGAAAGATATGAAAATCTCTATCGGCAAATGTCCTGCATAAGAATAGCTGGTGATCGGTAAATAATGACTACAGTATTTTATACTTAGCTAGTAGTAGCTGTGTGGGCTACAACTACTATTTAGCTAGTACGATTACAACTTCAGTGAGGTGTTACGTCTGATCTATGCAGTGAATTATCAACACCAGAATAACTAACCATCAGGCAAATTGATAACAGAATTAAAACACTTTGAAGTTTATTCTACCTCATTATTTGTGAATGCTTGAATTAAAATATGTAGCAAAAATTTACCAGCCAACCTGGACCTGTTTTCAACACTAACTTTCTTTTACCAAACATTTAAATTCAACATTTTAAAGCTAATCTGTACATAGACTATAAAATTATGCAGATCACGACAATACGTACAGAAAATACAAGATTACGACAAACTCTTATTAAGCAGGATCTAAATTCGGCCTGAAGTAATCCCAGTAAGAACAGTTTTTCCTCCTCTCAGCAAGACAGCGAAATAATTTCAAAACTATTGCACTCCTATTCATAAAATTGAACACTTTATATTAGAGGAAAATTCGTGGTGAAAAGAGGCATAAAGAAAATAATTAAATTACATTTCATTTGTAAACTTAAACGTAAATTTCCCAAGCTTTTTCCCAGAGAGTTTGAAATTCCAAAAGTTTGATGATTCAGTGCTACTTTATTGTTTGAAGTTCCAATAGTATAGGTTTCTGAGTATTAATGTGAAAGAGAAATGATTAAATAAGTTCCGTTTACGAAGGAGGTTTGCGCGAGGTTGCTATAGCAGTTCTAGAACTCAGTATTACTCATTTTGGTAATTGTATCGAGTGCAACTGAGTTTCGGAGTTCGAATAATGACAGATTTTATTGGTCATCAGATTGTCTACAAAGACAGAATGAGAAATAGACCCCACTAAATACTACAAACACTCTCAGAAGCCAGAATTCTTTTAATGCTAGTTGGCAACAATTTAAAAATCTAAATCAGAGTGTCAAAGCGGTATTGATTCAGAAAACCGTGATTTAAACAAATTGCAGCATCTATTACTGAAAAGTTCTCCTTTCCGTTTCCCCACCAGAAATGTGAATGAATGTATATAAGCTGAAGCTTTTCGACTGAAGGACATGTTGTGTTTCTGTCTCTCGAGACCACGTTACTTTAGTTTATCCGTTCCAGATAAGCTTGTTATTATTCGGCTTTGCGTTCACTTCTGCCGGAATATAAACTGATACACTGATTAGAACTTTCTAAGACAGCATAGGTTAAAATATAATTTTGTAGTCTTTTATTATTAGCATACGCTTTAATTTAAATTTGACTGTTACTATCTTTGCTTCATGACAAGTGGTTGAATTTTATGAGCTCAAGAAGTGCGCTCATTTAAGTTCTGTTAAATAAATGGTTGTGTTAAATCTTTTCAAATATCTATAGTTTTTTCAGACACAGCCATAATTCGATAACTAGTTGATTTTGAAAAACCCACTCGAATGTTGTCACTATTACAGAAACAAAGGAAACAATTATCATATTGGTAAATAACAATAACAGTCCTGCTGCAGAGACAACTAGGAATGTCATAGAAGCTAGAACGGCGTATACAAAAGTAAACTAGCTGGCATCTTCGTTATTTCTAAAGTGCAGCAGAAATTTATAGACGTGATGACCGGATAAACTGCTAATATAAATGCAAAATTCAGTTAATAAAGTACCGAAACAAAATACGGCTGTTACGAAATGGTTCTGAGAGGTAAGAGTGATAGTTAATGGACAGATCTTTGTTGTTTTTAAGATTCTGTGCTTGCCTGTATAGTGAATGGAACGAGATGTTACGGAGTTTACACTAACTCAAGTCTCTCCAAATTCTTCGCCCTCAAAATTAAATTGTTACATTATGTTTTAAAAGTGTCAAACAATGTGGTTAAGACACATTTCCACACAGTAGCGCAGGTATGTGAGCCTCTAACGAAAGTGCCTTGTCCCTCTCACAAAAGTGTTTTTATCCAGCTGCTTTCCTCAACTGCAAATGCAACTCAGACGGAACTCTTGCAGAAACGCAAGAAAGAGAGCGGATGCTGAATCTTTACCGATGTCTCTGGAGTAGCTTTTTGATAGAAAATTTTAATCCGTGACCAAAAATTCCATCTACGTTTTCATGGACTCTCCCAGAAAAAAGGAGAAAAAGTCGGACGCATTATCTCTTTCAAGTTTCGACACGATTACCTCTGCACGCTTCGACAGTCGTTCATACGGAATTGGATTATCCGCTCTGAAATGATTCTTCTCATGTTACGCAGATTATAAAACAAATCTCATATCTGCCTTTTTTAAAGACTGCTAAACTTTTCGACATAGAGGCTCAAAAGGAAGGCTTAAAGTTTTTCGACTCAAAAAACTCCTCAATCGAATAAGGATATATAAGGATTTAAGCACCAAACTTGCTTCATATTATTTATTTATGTCGCTTTATCAACAAGATTGGACGAAAAATTACATTTATTTCTTCTAGCTCACAGGATGGTCGTTATCACAAATGATCTCAAGTTGTGATCTTCGTTTGCTGAGTTATGGCTACGCTGAAGTACGCATTGATTGTATTAAATACCTTTATCTCTCTAAATGTTTTCTACCTGATGTGCAGTGCGCTTGAAAGCATAAATCGGCTTACCAAAGCTAGAATTAATAGCAACTGAATATGAAAATATAAATAGCTGGCACGATGTCAACGTAACAAACAGCGAGTTAAGAGATGGAGAATAAATATAATCAGAAAACCTCAGATTTAACAAAAGGAAAAATGCAGATAAATTAAAAGCGCTTTATCGAGTGTTAAAAAGAGCCTGAATAAAATTATTTTACTCAAAACGAATTTTTAGTACATTGTACTGCATTACAACAGGTTAATTCTTTAATATGATAATACCGAATAGTTTTACCTTGTCAGTGAAGGTTTTACTCTGAATAGCATGCATAAAACTTAATCGATATTAGGGATTTAGGTGAATATCTCCTTTGTCAAAAATTAACGTACGTAAATGAACATTCTTTTTTAATTACGGTAGTTTTAAGTACATTTCTTTCTCTCTTGTTATTATTTTAAATGCGCTTTACAGTTGGTTTCCTAGATTTTAGTTTCTGAAAATTTATGCATCTAATTATACTCATTATTTGAATAGCTCCAGTATAAATGAAGCCATCCCTTTTCGAAATATACGTATGTATATATGTGTAGTATATATAATATATATATATATATGTTTGTAGTATAAATATGTACTATATATATATCTATATATAATATTTATTTATGTGTGTGTGTGAGAGAGAGAGAGAGAGAGAGCGCTATAAAAAGAGGGAACAAAGAATTTTCCTAAAAATTAGTAATATAGTAATGAAATAACAACAAATGCGCTTGTATAACTGGTAACAATTGATTTTCTACTATAAATTTCTTCCTAATTGCAAGCATATATATAAAATAATATCACACAGAAAACAAACAACAACACTTAAACGTTTTGCGATATATCGACAATTGTCTTCCAGACCACTATTAGTGACTGATTACTTGAGAACCGCAGAAGTAGAGAATTAATGATAAGTATTTTTGTTTAGACCAATATTGAACAGCAAAGTCAAGAAGTGAAACTGCTGCATGACATGAAACGCATTTAATCAGATGCCATCAATTTGACATTTTATGAAAATGCGCAAAGAGTCATTCGGAATATCATATTGTTGTTGAATATTAATAAAAATTAAGTAAAATCACTTTAAACAAAATCAATTGATATGAAATTAGTAACTAAAAAAAACGCAGAGTTTATCATCAAATTTAAGTGAAAATAACTGCCAATGTCTCGTAATGAACATCTATTTTGTAAAAAATCGCATTGTAAAAAAAAAAAAAAAAAAACGCTTTATCGCTAAAAGAAGTAATGCGCATTTAT